TGAGCTTTGGTTTAGTTTTTATTTTTTGTTTAGAGACATAACACACAAGCATTAGTTTTTTCCTGCCTGACCAAAAATGCATTTCAGATGGCAGGAAGTTAATTCCTTGTAGAGTGAAGCACTGGAGAACTTGAATGTTTCTTCCCATAATCTAAGATTCTGCTGGATTAGTCACTTGGGAAAGTTTCAACTTCCCCCATAATCTATTAAATAGATAAGTGTTGCACTGAACATATGGCAAGCTTCAACTTGCTGTTCCACAGTCTTTCATAACTTAAAATTGCAGCGTTATAGCTTCATTGATATAATTGCCTTCTGTACTTCCTTTTTTCCTTCCATATATATATATGTGTGTATATATGCATTGTTTGTATATATATGTGTGTGTACATATATATATATATGTTTTTTTTTTTTTTGCCTTAGCCAGCAGCCTGCTCCCTGCTCCTAAAACCAGAGATGAGCTGTGGGGAAGGAGCCTGAGCTGCAGGTGTGCAGGCTGTTCACACGTGCAGCTGGAAGAAAACGTGGGATATCATCTGGAGAGTTGCCTAACAGGGAACTCAATATAAAATAATGGGAGCAAAAACATATTTTTTTCCAGGAACAGAAAGATCATTTTTGGTAGGGTAAGACATGACCTGCCCAAGTTTAATGATTTTGTGGACATTGCCAAATAGACTGCACCGTCACCCCAGCTCTCCAGGAGCACCACAAAACTCCAGCCTTTCTGTGCCCGAGTGAAGCTGGACACCATTTTGAGCAATTCTTTCGCCTAAGCCAGCTTAAAGCCGATGATGAGAAGTAGTTCAGTCGCTTTGACAGGCCTGCAACTGGCCTTCCTGGAACAATGTATTTATCTTGCTGGCTTAACTCGCAGTTTAAGTTAAAGTAACTGGACTCTGCCTCCCAGGTCACCATAGAAGTAGGCATCTCTAAAGGAGGGTTTCTAGAGATAGGCTGATTTCTTGGGGTTTGGTAGCTGCGAACAGGAGTAGGTTTGTCATCAGTATAACTGGGGCCTTAAAAAATTATGAGCCTTGTGTAAAATTTCTCACTCATTTCCAAAGTGAATGGCAGATGCACTGGTACCATTCCCAGTCCATGGGATGAGTGTTTCACTACCAGAGTTGCTCCCGTGCACCGCAGTGCCACAATACCATAGCACTGCCCTACAGAAGAGGGTGAGAGGCGCTGGCAGGGCGGCTCCTGGCCCAGTCGTCCCGCTCTGCCGAGAGCGGATCCAGTCGCGCACGGAGCAGTCCAGGCGGGAGCGGGGAGGCGGGTCGGGAGCAGGTCCTGCCCCACAGCTCCGCGCTCTCGACATCGCGCACCTGGAATCCAGGCCACGCGCAGGGATGGGCATGGCAGGATGGGCAGAGCACATCCACCCGCTCGGCCCCCATCACCTGCTAATGAAAAAGGATTTAAAACCAGGTCTGTTGCAGGGAGGTGTCCAGCGCAGGCGCGGTTGCTGCTGGCCTTGATCTTTTACCTGACCCCTGTGGTGCAGCTCATCTGGACCCAGGTCGTGCCTGCTTGTAGCCAGCCCCTAAAGTGCTCCCACTTCCTCTCCTTGGACACCTCCAACCGCTTTCCAAAGCAGCGCAGGGCAATCTGGCCCAAACACCCCTCCGCTGTAGCCTTTCCAAAAGATTTGTAGTAAATGTGTTCTGTTTTGCGGTTTTTCCCCACCTCTGGGCTCCAGCCCCCTGTAGCACATGTGTGCCGAGTACTACAGTACTCGGGTACAGCAGCCAATACAAGGAATTCAGTTAGGGTTTTTATATAGTGTAAATCTGGGTTAACTCTTCAATGCAAAGAGTATCACTCGTGTAACCCTGAGCTGTTTCTGTTGCCTGCGAACACTGTCCTTTCCCACCGCCTTTTCTTGCTGTTTTTCCTCCTCAGATTTTCCCCTGCCTGTCCCTGCTTCTCTATCCTTTTTATTTTCCCTTCTGCGGGGGTCTCCGAAGGGGAGCGCGGCGCTTGCCAAGGCCGTTTCCGGCGCCTCCAGAGAGCGGCCCAGCCTCGCTCTGCGTCTCGGGCCCGCGGCCGCGGGCCGGCTCTCCGCTCGCCTTCCTGCCTTCCCTCCTTCCTTCCTTGCTTCCCACCTGCAGCCGTGTTCCCCGAATCCGTGTCCCTCGAGACGTCGGTCACCCGTCTGCTGGAGCCGAGCTGCACGGCACAGGTTCTGGGGCAGCTCTTCTGTTTAGAAGGAAAGGAAACAATGACATATACATATAAATATACATATGGAGCCGAGGTGATTTACCAGGCATGGTTCTTGCGCAGAGCAGCAGAGAGAAGTTCTCCAGAGCACTGCTGGTCTCCCAGGTCCTGGTTCGTCCCGCTCCCAGCCAAGGCGCAGGGATCCCATGGCCCCCCCGGCAAAGGTGGTCATGGCGCTCCTGAAAGATGGTCCCGGGGGTTCTCCTGCCCTCACTGTGCATGGAAGTTGCCACTAAATTGGCCATGACGGAGGAGAGGCTCAGGGAGGGGCTCGTCCGCCCTCCTCCGAGCCGTCTCCGCGGGGCCGCAGCGTGTCCCAGCCCACACCGTCCTTAACGTGCCTGTCCTGGAGCCGCCCACGCAGTTTGAATTGCATCGCTCTCTCCCATACAGTGTTGAAGCATGTAGCGAGGCACTCAGGTGGGTGGCTCCGGGTTTAAAACTCGTGTGGAAACCCTCCAGCTACGACTTCCATCTGTTAAGTTGCTTTGAATATTTTTAGAGGGAGAGCATGAAACAAAACAGCGTTGGCTGCAACATCCACACGCCTTGTGTGTCTGTGTAATCCAGTTAAAAAATAATTAAAAAATGCAAGGTCATGGGCCTTCACAGCAGACTCGGAACAAACCCCATCCTTCTCTGTGCAGACTGTCGGGAGAGAAATTCTGCTCCATTTGATAGACTTCCTGGTGACAAACTACGGACACGACCCGGTTATTACCCGGTTGCTTAACAACACCCGGGTCCACATCATGCCGACGATGAATCCGGACGGGTTCGAAGCTACCAAAGTGCCCGACTGTTACTACTCCCTGGGGAGGTGAGCGAGGCGGACGCGTGAGGGAACCGGGCGCCAGCTGCCGTGGGGCTGCTGCCCAAGGAGAGCTACGTGACCCCGCTTACTGAGAGAAAAGTGTGTCCGAGTTATTGGATGGACGTGTAAAAATGAGTCTAAAGCTCATCGTGTTGTATGCAGGCCTTAGCCAGAGGGTTTAATGGTCTGAGACGTAGTAAGATTATGTAGGGTTTGCAGAAATGGGGCTAACCACGATAGGTGCTAGTAGCAGTGTCACAAGAAAAACAAGTGGCGCAGAAGAAAATGCTGCTGTTGCACTCCTGAATGTAATATTGAAGAGCCCAAAAAGGGGACAAAAGACTAAGAAAGTAGAAAAGGGAGAGAAGAGGAGGCGATGCCCAAGGGCTAGAGCCGGGATGTGCAGGAAGCGGCGGCCACCTTAAGCGCGTGAGCTAGAAGTGCTCCTGCATCTCTGGTCACGGCAGCTCCGGGAGCAAACGTGTGGGCAGGGTGGGAACAGCCACTCTCCAGGTCCTCCTTTCATTGGGAAAGGGATTTATTCCTTGGAAAATGGTTAGGGCTTCAGCAGAGGGCACAATGTTTTTGATCCCCCTCATTGGCACACAGGCTGAATTTAACCGAGTTTGAAGTTGAGGAGAGCTGGAGCCGAGTCCCCTCTGTGACACCAGGTGCCATCTGTGCCGGTGCTCAGGGACACGGCCGGGCCCCTGGGGCCTGCAGGAGGCTGAGGAGGTGGGAGGGCCTGCAGCCACGCGCCACAGGAGCCTCTGTCCTCTCCCTCAGGTATAACCGGAACGGAGAAGACCTGAACCGCAATTTCCCGGACGCCTTTGAGTACAACAACGTGACCATTCAGCCGGAGACGCGAGCGGTGATGGACTGGATAAAGAACGAAACGTTTGTGCTCTCGGCCAACCTGCACGGCGGGGCGCTCGTGGCCAGCTACGCGTTCGATAACGGCAACGCGGGTGAGCGGGCGCCGCGCTGCGCGCGGGGCTGCGGCGTCGCCGGCGCGGGTGTGATGTGAGGCCTCTCTCCGCCCCGCAGCGACCGGCTCGTGGGAGGGCTACAGCAGAGCTCTGGACGACGACGTTTTTGTTCACCTGGCGAAAACCTACTCCTACAACCACGCCAGCATGTACAAAGGCGCCGGCTGTGACAACAGGCAGCCCTTTCCGGAAGGCATCACCAACGGCTACTCGTGGTACCAGCTGGAAGGTAACGGTGTCACCTGTGTCTTTTCAGGTGCTTTGGCTGTGATGTCTCACACTCTTGCTGCCCTGATGGTGAAACTGCCGTGGTTTTGCCCCATAAAGGGTTGATTCAAGTAGCTCATGAGCTGTGGAAGCTGCCACGCTCATCCCTGCACAGTCTCCGAGCAGGACACAGCATTTGTAGATGCTCCTGGTCAGCAGGGACACAAGTGAAGGAGGCAGCTGCTGCCTTCTGCTTTCTGTCCTGCTCTTTGTCAGTGCCAGGGCAGTTCCCTTGTAACTGTAACTACACGGAACACCCCCACAGGCCGCTTGTTAACGTTGTGTCGATACGTTTGCACAGCTACACTGAGCCTGGAGGCCAAAGTCTTTTCTTGGAGAAAGCCAAGAATGACTTCACTGTTGATAGTGCATAGGGTTCAGCTGCTGTAACTGAGATAAAAACCTATTTCCTCTCCTTTCAGGAAGAAAACCAAAGTCTTGTTCATATATCATCTTTTATTTTGTTCATCTTTGAATACAGAAGTGTTTTAATCTTTATCTGTTTATAGCCAAGTAGAAGCTGTATCCTGTGGCACTTCATGTTGCTTTCACAGTCTGAATTCAAGGCCTTAAAAAGCTCTAAGGGCAGCTGTGAGAATGGCAAACTGCTGGCCAAGCCATGACTGTATCTGCCCCCGTATATTTGTGAGCAGTGACATGTTGTGCACACGCACCATTACTCTGCATGCCCCTGCACAGCAAGAAAATCATTTTCCATAGCAGACCATAGGTAAAAGTGACTGTGGCACTGAGGACTAATCCATGTGGTTTATCTTTTCAATGCACCTTCTTACAGGTGTGATGCACGTACCAGCTTTAAACTCCCTACTGTTCTTCTAGCCTGAAAGTGGTGCTTCTTTCCAGCTCCGCGTCTTTGCTTCCTTTCCAATCTCAGGTGGAATGCAAGATTACAACTACATCTGGGGACAGTGTTTGGAGATTACGTTGGAGCTGTCGTGCTGCAAATATCCCCCTGAAGCCCAGCTGGAGAAGTTCTGGAGAGACAACCGAGTGGCTTTGGTGGAATACATGAAACAAGTGCATCTCGGTGGGTGTGCGGCCGTGGCAGGGCCACCGCGGGCAGCTTTCCAGGTCGCCCCAGTCAGTGCTGAGAAGCTTGGGCTCAGCTGCTCCAGAGCACAGGCTTTTTCCCATTCCTCGGCCGCTTTCTGGATATACCCGCGCCAGAGCCACGTGGCAGCAGTTGTGCTGCCCAGCTTGCGAGTCCGGCACTTGCTTTTCCCAGTCAGAAAAGGCAATTCAGAAGCGAGTGCTGTGGGAGAGGGAACTCCCTCTCCGCGAGGGAACTTCCCCCTCTGGCGTCAGGGCAGCCATTTATTTCACAAGTCTCAAAGAAGTTGTGTGTTTGGACACGTGCAAAATGTTCTCTGGGTCTTGTGCTGGCTCTTTGCTTGTTTGTTTGGCGGCCTTTCTAGGTGCACTTTTGTGAGATATGTGGCCTCTGTGACTACTTCCATGTGCTGGAGCGGAGGGCAGGGGCTGCGCGTGCACGCAACAGCCTCAGCTCTGCACGCTGCCCCCTTCTCCTTTCCCTCCTCTCGCCCTGCGCAGGCATCAAAGGGCAGGTCATGGACAGCAGGGGGAGGCCCATTCCCAACGCCATCGTGGAGGCCAAGGGTCGTGCCCACGTGTGCCCTTACAGAACCAACGACCACGGCGAGTACTTCCTTCTCCTCCTGCCGGGCACCTACGTGATCAATGTAAGTGCGCCCGTTTGCTGCGCGGTCTCCGCTCCAGCTGCGCCGAGCTCCTGAGCCAGGGGCGGCTGCTCCGGGGGCGGCCGCGGCCTCCTCGTTCGCGCTGGAGGGATGCGCAAATGTGGGGCCTCTCTGCGGTGCCCAGAACGGCTGCTGCACGGAAAGGAGGTTCCCAGGTGCCCCTCAGGGAAGGGACTTTCCTGCTGTAAAGTGCCAGCCTGCTGGTGAATTCCTGCTCGGACCGAGCACCAAGTGACGCTCGTCCCCCCCTCTCCCTCCTGAGCAAGAGGAGGGGGTGGCCCGGCCTTTCGTTCCCTCTGCATCATGGATGCCGCTTCATGGTAATGCATTAAAAAAGGGAAGAAAAAGTCATGGCAGAGAAACTATTTTACCCAGCAGAGAAGCCCCAACAGCATGTAGAGCTTGTTCTGGCTGCTGGCCTCTTGCTCATCACGCACGTTCCTGTTTCTGTTCCCGTGGAGCCGCACGGGCTGCTTTGCTGCTGCCCAGCAAGGGCAGTTATGGGCACGGTGCATCCTCCAGGCTTTCTGCTTCTCGCTACGCAGTTTAATCAGTTCGTTCATTTTGACTCCTGACCCAAATGAAGGCAAATTAGGTAAAACCCTTGTCTACAGAAAGGATACACTGTTACCCTTTCCAGCTCACCATGCTTCACTTCAGTCTAGTTGCCATATGTGATGAGAGTCTTTAAGGTTTCCTCATTCTGTAGCTTCATTTATTTGCGCTTAGGAGCCTTTTTTATAGGTCCAGCATATTTAAAGCAGCACATTAGACAATTATGATTACACAGCAGCATTCGATACTTAAAACCAACTAAGAAGGAAATCTCTCCTGTTTGTTCCTAGGCTACTGTACCAGGATTTAAATCCAAGCTGAAGACAGTGGAAATACTGGATAACACTGCAAACTTCAGCGCTTTGAAATATGACTTTTATTTCTCCGAAGTCTCTGTCACACCAAGAGCAGCTTCGTGTCCCACCTCTCCTCTCTACGGAGAGCAGGAGCGCACCTCGGCAGCAGGAAGGGCAGCTTTACACAGCGTCCTTGCCACCACCATCCTGCTTGCAGTGATGTTTAAATAAAGGCAAGGACGAGGCAAGGCGAAAGTCCACACAGTCTTCCTGCACAAATGTGGCTTTTAAAAAATTTTATATGCAGAAGAATGTATGTTTTATAAATGACATTCTCAAGACTTAAGATTATGTTTATTGTATTTTATAAAATCCTGGCTAAACAATCAAATGTTTTAATTATAATAGACTCATATTTTTCTACATAAATACTTTAAGGAATTATTGTACAGCCTCTGGAGATAAGACTCTGTAGGATTTCAGTGGGGAAAGTGTTGATTAATTTCGAGGAATTTCAATTAAAAGCCACGCAGGCCGGCACAGCAGCTGTTCCACACAATCCCTGTCTCCCACGCGAGCCAGGGCAGGGGGTGCAGGGCCTGAACACGCAGCTGGATCCCGGCTCCTCTCAACGAAGGCACCGCTGTAACGGGCACCAGGGCTGCGCGGCTGGTTCCTTATCGACACCCAGGCGCCGCACCGGGCAGCAATGAGGTGCAAAGAGCAGCAGCAGCTGTAAAAGGAGGTGGAAACGCAGAGTTCCAAAGGGCAGGAGCTCCATCCCCATCCCTGCTGCCAGGCGTGGCAGCCACGGACACCTCCCCTTAACCGTTACTTCTCTGAGACAGAGCTAGTGAAAGACTGTGGGAAGCGGCACCCGCAGCCCCCAAGCTCCTCCAGAGCATTATTAATCGAGCACCTTTGAGATCCGACTGATGATTTCAGTGGGTTCTTTGGCTGCTGTGCGCCCCCTTCAGCCAGGAGCCGAGCGGAGCCGTTTGCAAAGGCCGGGCTGGGTACCAAGCACCGGGACCCTGTTTGGGAGTTGCAGGGTGCTACATGCAGACTTAGCGAGGTGCCTTTGGGCTCAGCTTTTGCAAGTCATTTTTAGGGCACTTTGAAGAATCAGTAACGGTTCACACGGTCCTGGGTGTTTGTTTTAAAGCTTTATCTTTATCTCTTTTTCCTAATTTAAGAATGTCTCACACGAGAGCATGGTGCCGAGGTAGTCCTGTGCCGTTGCTGGGTTGCATGTAGCTTGTGACAGGGTAGAAAGTTGTATCACTTGGGTTTTGCTTTAAGTGACAGGATCAGAACCATCTGGGCTACCAAATCTGAGTCCTTCAGGTTAAAATCCCCCAGAACAAGAACTGGGGGAGCCAGCGGTGCCCACGCAGCTGAAGGGCGTTGGAAGAGCCTGCACTTTAATTCAGTGGAACAAAAACCTGCATGACAGTAAAGCAGGAGAAATTCCAACAGTTAAATATTTAAGTGCTTAAAAAAAAATAAAACCAAGGAGTGTGTGTGTGTATATATATATATATATAAATATATATATAAAAGAATGTTTTTATTGACACCCGTTGAACATAACATTTTGGTTCATCAGAAAAGGAAAACATTAAAACCGAAGGACACAAACGCAATGCACATGAAAACTCTTCCCTTGAAGGGCTCTCTATTCCACGCAGACGAGGGCTGGTCTTGCTTGAATGGGGACTGAGCGATCACTACCCACGAGGGCTGCCAGGAGGAGTGCAGGAGGGGGGCCCTTCAGGAAGGGTGTGCACAGCTGCAGAGCGGCACAGCTGGATCATTACCTTAGTTCATTACTAAGCATCGCTCCCCCCATGTACTCGGCAGCAGTGCAAGGCTCAGCTTTGGGAAAAGCTATTGCATATTGTAGGATCTCCGTAATCATGGTGCTGATTGCCCGTAATTCAGCATGAAAATGAGAGCCCTCCCTTACAGCCAGGCAGTTCAATTTAAAGCAAAGTTTACAAAAGAAAAAGGGGAGTGATAACACATTTTAACCAATTGTACATGTACAATAAATACTTTGATGATAAGTCTGTTGTGCTTGTACTAATTAAAAAAGAGACCATCAGCTAAAAGCAACAAGTTTTCATTTTTAGTAAGTACTGAACCTTATTAAGATTTTAATATTATTTTTAATTTATACTTTGCAACACCCCTAAGCTATGAAGTACACCAGAGCGGGAAGGAGAACCTTCCCTGTAGTTGGGGGTACAACAGGCGGTGCCGTGTGTGACCCCCAGCGCCTGATGCGGGGCCAGGCGCATCCCCTTTCGACTGCACTTAGGGATTTTCTAACCCCTTGCCTGCAATTACGAGCTATTCTGAAACAAGCTCAGGCTGATGCTGTCTGCAAGGACCTGAATTAGCTTTCCTTCAAGTTAGACTAAAAAAACAAACAAAAAAAAGAACCCAATGATAAAAATGAAACAAAAACCAGTCAACTTCTTTCACCAACAGCACTACGTAAACCTTCAGCCTTTCTAAGCCAACCTGCCAAGGGACATGGTGGCCGTAGTCCCTGGGGGACGGGGCCTGGCGCACACTTGTTCCGGGCTGCTAACCAGTGATCCGGATACACAATATTCCTCAAAAGCGCAATCCTTGCTGCCAGTGTTAACTAGAAGCAGTGTCCCAGCTACTTATGTTTCAGCTGTGCCACATCTAAAGGATAAAAGCATAAAGTTTCTGTAAACTGGGAAATTCAAAGTGAAAATTCAGTATGAAAACATCTTCAAATATTACAGTATTCCACATTTCTAACCTTCCGTGAAAGGTTAAACTTTCTAGAACAAAGTAATTTTGCCTTCTGTCTCAAGTGCTCTGCACTTTGCTTTCTTGGTTCATGAGCTGAATTTCTATCCTAGAAGAAATCTACATTGTGAGAGAGTCCCACTGAATCAAGCAGTGGCCCTGCTGACCCCTCGAGAGCCACCACAACGTGTGGTGGTAGCCGGGTGTCAGCAGTGGCTACCTGATGTGCGCCAAGGAAGAGGCTAAGGCCAGGACTGCAAGGGAGGGACGCTGCATTTCGTTCACATTTGCCTGTTGCTGCTGAGTTGCACAGCCAGGGCAAAAGAAAATCTCCCTCCAGACAAGCCCAGGTCGCCTCTTCCTGCCTTGTTTCCAGATAGGGGATTCCAGCGTCGCGAGCAGAGCAACAGCAAGGTGGCTGCGTGGCTGTGCTGGCGACGCAAACGCATTGCCAAGGAAAACAGCACCAAAACATTTACACTACACTGACACTGCGGCAGCATCCACCTCTACTGCCATTTAATAAGTCATCTTGCACAGTTATAATTTGTTGTATTAGGGGGAAAAAAAATAAAAGCCCTTAAGCATCTTTATGCCCATCTTAATTCACGTTACAGCCTCCTTTTTATTTTTAATGCTGCAATTACGTAAGTATTCTTTTTATAGCTGTGTTTTATGACATATACATATTTTTGTATATACAGGTTAACGTATATGCATATACAGGCTAATTCAATAAATTAAAGCTCAAAACACCCAACGTATGCACAGGAGTATGTACAAACTGCAATAAATTAAAGATTAAGATGTCTAGGGTATTAAATAACAATCAAGAGGGCTCCCCAAGTACAAGTGTGAACTGCTGATGAGTGCTGATTTGGCTACTCTTGAGGACAACTAATCGCTTATCTGTCCAAAAACCAGGGTGATCCACAGCAAGGCTCGTTGCCGGGAGCCCTTCCGGCTTTTCTTCTGCACCCCTAATATTTACAGAGGGCCAAGTACAGGTCACAGAGTCGGATTCAGAAGATTCTGGCTGCTGCCACTGGGTGCCTAAACCCCAGCTCCAACCTTCTCATCTCCTCCTCTGTAAAGCAGAGTGGGGAAAAAAAAGTCACCTCACACTAAACAGAGTTAAAAATTGTTAAGGCCAAGAAGGGAATTCAGCACCAGGCTGCTGATCCAAGGAGCTTCCCATTTCCACAGCACTGCACGGGGCAGTAGCATTTCCATGGCTGCTCCCTCGGGAAGAGAGGCAGGCGGTCGGATGACACAAGGGCAGCCCCTTGGGCCCACGTGCTCCTTTTCCTTCCCCCCCTTTTGTTACCTGCAGCGTGAGGCTCCGTGCATGGGAGCGTCAGACTGAGCGTCCCACGCAGCGCGCACGGCCGCGCCGGCCCGAGGGCCTCTCCGTGTGGGACGGGGACTGTTAGGACCCAGCACAGCGGGGACCGAAGCCCTCACGCTGTCACGCTACAAGGGCAAAGAGCAAGAGATTGAAGGAGCAACCGCAACTGGGTTTCATGGTTTGCTTAGTTAAAATCAATTGTGATTAGACTTGAGAGGCAACAGAATCTTCTCGTGGAAAAAGGAAGCTTTTCTATGTGGGGAAAAAGGACAGACAGACCCAGGTATCTCACAACTTTTTCACCTACAGCTTCTAGGTCCTGTATTTGCCGTTTGCCTGGGTGCTCCCTTGTATTCAGCGTGGTTTGCTCCTAATTTACAGGTACTAATTGACCTCACTCTGGACTATTTCAGCTCTGACCCCAGAGCAGCTACTGCAGCAAATCTTGGTACTAGGACCCAGGTATCAACTGCTCCACAGGGGTATTTTAAGCTAGGGCAGCTGTTTAACCCAGCCTTGGGGGAGTTCTGCATTTGGGTGGCGCCTCCGGTCCCGGACTCCAAAGCCGGTCCGGATTCCAAAGCCGCGGTCCTCCCCACTGCACAGGCTACTCGCAACCCCTCTGAAATAAAAAGCTTTAGAATGTGCAATTCTTTTCTTCAAATGAGTCTCTCAAAGGGACAAAAAACACCTCAGGGGTGCAGAAACTATCCACTAACTATCCACTAAAATCCAATTCAAATCCAATCCAAACACATCCCAAGGTTATTTTAGCACACAAACACATATACTGCCTCCTCTGAATGCCCAACAGAACTTAGTGAGCTTCCTAAGAAAGGCACAGCTGAAGTTTTACAAAGTTTTTGACAAGCACAATGACAACAGTTAAGAACTTTTAAGCATCAAACCAAGTGAGAGAAACTTCAATACTAACAGCTTTGAATATTTAAATTAACCAAAAAAATTGGCAACACATTTTCAAAATTGCGATACAGATAAAAAGAAGGTAAGTAAGAAAGATTACTGAACCTAAAAAATATCTACCTGAAATAGATTTATTTGGTTTTGCAACTAGTGGGGACTTTTTAAACTTTATTGTTATTCAAGTGGTGTCGGGCTCAAGCTGCATGACATACTGCTCAAGTCAAACCACCACAGAAAAAATACAAATCTCCCCCGATTTTGCCTGGTTTGGGCAATTTATTATATAGGTAATTGTTCAAATCCCCTGCCTGTTTCAAGTCTTACACATTCAGCTAAAATAATCTGAGCACAGCATAGACCACCAAATCTCACAATATCTTCAGGATCTGTTGCGCAGGATTTTTAAGAGGTAACTGTGACTGAATTTAAGTCAATGACTTCTCTTGAGACATTCATACAACACTCTCCTTTACAAATTATAAAGACACTGCTTTTCACTCTGTTTCCAAATCCTTAAATTCTTTCCTATTACCTCTCCCCTCATTTCCTCATCATCTTCCCAATAATTTGACTACTAGGGGGAATTTAAGTCTTGGGAATGAGGGAACTCAGACTATTTATTTATTTTACTGACTTATCAGAGTTCTTGTTTTTGCCAAGTGTCTTCACCATGCAACAGATACTGAAGTCTCAAGAGTCTTCTGTCTTCTTTAGATGAGGAATCATGATTACAAACTCTTCAAAAATATACCTCCCCTCATAACCACCAGATTTGTTTTTGAAGTGTGTATTTAACCCAGTAATGCAAATGGGACTATCTGCAACAAAAAACACTTGAAAAGGCAAACAGTTTACAGGAAATGGGTACTTCTACTCAGGAGGATTTAAAATCTTCAAATTGACAGGTGAGTATTAAGCTAAACTTTATCAATTCCAGTGCAATATTTATTTTAATGACAGCCACACTAAAGACACACAAAATATTAAGATTCCAGTACGAATACAAAAATAGTTTCTTACTTTCTCAGTGTTGCACCAGTCTGCGAAGCTCATTTGGCTGCTCTGCCCTTGGTATCCTCTAACTGAAGTAAGTGAGCACGATCATCTGTATGGGCTGCCTGCACACGGGGCACGGTTTGTTCCTCTTCTTCAGTTTCCTCGCGCACGTGAAACACGACATCAGGTGCCCTGTTCTGCCATGTACTATGCAGCCGTTCTTGGGCCTGCTCTGGCATATGACACAGGGCTCGATGCTGGTGACAGGCAGGGTGGACTCCGTGCTGTCCTCCTTGTCCTGACCATCTCTCTTCTCAGGTTCCTTGAAGTCCTCCTGACTGCTACAAAACATGCTGCTAGACGTGGATGGCTGCGAATAGTCCTCGCTCTCCTGGGACTCACAGGTTTGCACCGCTTTATCATCGCTTTCCTCCAAAGCCGCCTCTTTATCTTCAGTCATTTTCACTTTCTTGCAGTCAGGAACATCAAAACCTTCTTCAGACTCCAAGGGCAAAGAACCCTCCAATTTACCTTTCTCCGATTTATCACTCTTTTCCTCGGGCAGCCAGTCCTCACGAAGGGCCCAGCACCTGTGGCAGTGGCGCGGGAGTGGAGGGTTCATCTCACTGCACTGGGGGCACTTCCAGTAATCCTGGAGCCAAACAGAGGTTGAGACAGTTTAGCTGCTTGGAACTTTCACAGTCCAAGCAGCTGGAGATTACAGAAAAACTACTGCTGCCAAAATAATAAACCATGCCGACCTCTCCACTTGTTTATAGTTTAAAATTTCAGTTTTGAGAGTCTGGAATAGAACAGACTTATTTTTAGAAGATACTGATTTTTTTCCTCCTTGCAGTAGACATGTGAGATAATAATACAGATTTATTATTATTCCTTGGCCAAAACTGAAGAATCCAGACCACAGGAATCAGCAGAGAACCTCAGGAAGAGCTTTTCTGGCAAAACCGCCACCATTTCCATTATTTTCAGGGGCGAGTTATGAATTGGAAACTCTTGCTTAGCTGGCCAGCAACCCTCTGGTTGGAGGAAGGGCCTCGAACGCGGGCGATGCTGAGCAGTTGCCGGGTGTTTATTTCCAGGGATGCTGCTCTGCCAAGCGGCCGGGCGAGGGCACTCTGGGACACCAAACAGCAGCCACTTCAGAGGGCAGTGGCACCGGCTCACAGTTTCCTCCATGGGCGCCACCAGAGACACCCACAGTACCACTAAAATGCCTTTTTTGTATTTTTTTGTAACAAGGGAAAAAGAAGTGACTTCTAAGAAGGAAAAAAGAAAAAGAGAACAAAAAGCTCTTATTTGGAAGACTTGAACCACTTTTTGGTTGCAGTCTTGAAAAACAACAGCGGCATCCAAAGCTTAAGGCACCAACTTCAAATCCTAAAAAGGAGTGCTGTGTTTTTAAGTGGGGTCTGGCCCTGCATTTTACAAACATAGTGGAGTCCCGCAGAGCGTCAAGGGACTGGAACATTTCACATAGTTTTGCACAGCAGCTTTATTCCAGCTTCAACAGGGAAAAGCAACTAAAGCAACTATAAACTAAAACATACATTATATATTCAACATTACATTTAAGAACTCCAGCTAACCTTCAAGACACAAAATAACTTTTTTGCAACTGGAGTGAGGGTATATTTTATTTACAGCTGCCTACCTATTTATAGTTCCAAGTGCCATACACCTGCATTTCTCCCCACAATCAAGAACTGCCTCACAGAATTAAAAGAGCCTCAAGACCTACTAATTTTACTCTTCTGAAAACTACTTGTGAAAGATCTGCCTTCTCATCTCTATACTACCGATTCAGGATGGACAGTAAAATAAGATACTCCGGTTTATGATAAAAGCTTTTTCAACACACACAGTATTTTGAAGACCACTTCCTTTCCATTTTGCATAACAATTCAACCTTAGGTTCTAAATAATTTTCTTCCAATTACCTGGTAACTCTTTGTTTTTCTAAACTGGATTAGGAATTTATTTTAAATCTTTTTTAAATATTCATGTTCGCATGGTGGTAATCAAAATATTAGCTGGGAACTTTCAAATATGCAAGAAAAAAACCCTAATTTAACATTTAAGAAAATCATGGTTAACCACAGATTTCACTTATAGTCTTGACCTGCTCTGTCCATTGACCCAATTTACGGTGCTTTGCAGACCAAGGATTTACTCACAGCTAGGGAAATCTCTGGATCTTCGTCAAATGAATCAGCATCACTTTCTTCATCTTGATAAATAGTCAACTGATATACCTGATAAAAAAATAAAAAAATAAAATCACTCTAAGCTCTGAAGCACTTTTTTCGGCATTCAATTTCAAAAGCTATTTTCTGATAATCGCTTTTGATCAAAAGTGATATGTTTCATATTAATAAAGACTAGAAAATAATTGCTGATTAAATCTGATAGCAAGGTTTGGAAAAAAGTATCTTTTCACACTTGGGCCATACAGTTTGACAAACACTGACTAGACAGACAACGGGGACAACTTTCTTAAACAGTTCATGCCAGCTGTGATTGGGAAAGGCAGCAGCAGCAAGAAACACTCTCTTAACACCACTGTTAAGGAAACAAAACCAAACCCTCAGTTCTTTCCCCCTCTAAATCACTCTCTTAACTCTCAGTACAACTCTGAAGGACCCTAAGACACTGCAAATCAGTGCAGTCAGTTCCCTTTTTCCACTCCCAAATACCACGATCATATATGTCCCTGACTGCACAGTGCTGGACACTGGAATGGTGAGTATCTAACTGTGGTCAAACTGCACAGGCGTGTAACTTAATCAGTGACTAGATGCAGAGTCCTGTAATAAGCCTGAAGAATTACTGGTTACTGCTTCTATCTGTCAGATTTTCAACATGAAGTATTCAAGTAATTTTCCTGCTCACCCAGCCATCAAGGAAGGCAAATACAAACCTCATCATCTTCATCTGTGAGCTCCTGTACTTCTTCATTATGGCTATAATCTTCTGAATAAATAGACTCAACTTCAAACTCTACACTGAACTGGTCTGAAACAGAGCTATGATCAAACCAATCAGAGTTTTCACTTAGTGAGCAGGCATCAAGATCCTGAAAAATAAAGAGGAAGAAGATATACATTCAGGCTCACTGGTCCATTTCTGCTAATACGGCTCTTAGTAAGATAAAACTGAACTAGGCAGTTTAATTAGCTACAGAAGAAATGTGAAAACCTGCTGTTAGATAGAACATCATTTGAGACAATCTGATTATACCTGGATAAAAATAATCAAAGTTTTTAGATCTGAAACCTTTTTGTAAGCTTTATGATAAGCTGTCAAGCAGCAGTCAATCTATATTCAGCTTAAAGACTGCTTCTCTTTCACAAAAGTTGTCCTAAAAAGGCAAATCACATGAAGATGATGATGTTTTTTCGCAATGTGTCATTTAATTTTAACTATTATGTTTTTCTTAAATTTTAGTCAGTGGTTAAGCAATTAACAAACACCAAAAAGCAAAACTACTATATTAGTTCTGTCAATTCAAAATTCTGTTATTTGACTAGGAATACAATTAACTTAGGTTTTTATTACTTAGCCTAACAAGAGATAATCTGAACAGTTAATCTGTGCAGTTAACAAAGTTGAGCTATAACAAGCCCTCGTCCAGAACTAGATGCTGTTCTGTTACAAAACCCTACAAATACCTTTCTTTTAGCAATCTAAGAAAGTGCTTACTTTATATTATAAAGTAGTACTTTTTAAATAGTACCCCAATGAATAAAAATCTACTTGCCTGACTTTCTTAATGAATTCAGAGTTCACATTCTACATTGAGCTTTGTCAAAAAACATCTACAAAATACCTGACTCTACAGCACCACAGGCTGCACACCACCAACTCCTCTTTCAGTTTCTTTTCTTCCCCAGCCCCACTTCTCAGATGCCGCTAAGGGCGCTGCTGGTTTCAGTTACCAACGCAGGGCTCTGGCACACACATCCACAGCTGTGCTCCCTACATAGCTGCACCACAAAAAGCAGTTGTTGACTTACAGCTATGGAAGGAGAATCTGTTGAATCGCTGCTATTGCTTCTGTCACGGCACAGCCCACTCACTACACACCAGGACAGGCTTTCATCAAAGGTCAAGGAAATGCTGTCTGACTTGTGTCGTTTTCTTCTGTCACTAGGAGGATCATCTAAAGAATTTTCTTCTGGGCACATTAAAGAGTTTTTATTAATCCAAAAACATCTATGCAATTCTTGTCCAGCAGCAGCTTAAAATATAGTTTACTTATTTGGGAGTTGAGGAAAATTTGTTTTTCAGTATTATTTTATGAAAAAGTAAAGGCACTGAAAGCTCATTTTAAGAAGGCACAGTAACAGAGAGAAACACAAGAAATGTGGAACACATTCAAGAATACAGTGTACTAACAGGACAATCAACCCCTGAAACAACTTGTAAATGACAGTTTCCATATTTAGAAAGTACAGCAATTGGAAGTGTTTTACCCCATTTCACACAAAGCACTTAGGTTAAACCCCTTCTAGCTTTAAGCAGCTCAGTGAGGATCCCAATAGTCCTAGCTCCCCCTGCAGGCAGAATACAGAAAGGTCCTTTCAGAGGCTTGTCAGTCCCTTCCAGAGTCTGCAGGGAGACATGAGCAACTAGCTCGCAGGTCAAACACACACAAGAATCTCACACTGGGCAAGATAATTTAAGTCTTAGTTCCAGATACGTCAGTAAGTCTATCATTTAATCATTTGCACTTCATGTAATACCATTTTCTCAAAAGGCTTTTGTAGCAAATCTTTATATGAATGGGCTCGATCATGATCTAGCAGGAAAATCGTCAGGACCAACATACTGTGTAAAAAATTAACTACGAAGATCCTTGCTTTCAGCTTAATAATATTAAATATTATTAATTTGAAGGCAGAAAAGCAGTGCTTTTAAGAATGCCACATTTTAGAACACTGTACAGCAACATAAGGAGGAGGAGGACAGCATTTCAACAGTAACTAGGTTGAATTCAGCTCCACTGGTATTTACAGAGTTGGACAAGAAATAAGTCTATTTAAAACACATTGCAAAACCAGTACGTAAGCACAGTGGAGTGAAAATTTCCGAAGAGGACGAGCAAATCGGTCCAACAGACTTTGGTAAGAGCCTGCTGCCCCCTCCAGGTGCCTTTTGCACACACACTCTATAGCCCAGTTCTCCCTTGCCTTGCAAAAACACATCCTGACAATCCATGAGTCTCCGAGGCTTGAATCTTTCATTGTAAAAGGAAAGAGAACAAAACACTTGTACATACTTTGAGACTTCTCTTACTTTCCCTTGGTGCTTCTTGGCTCAGCCCCTCTCTTTTCTTTTTTCCGCCCTGAGAGCCCCACCAAACTTGGTGCCCCCAGGCCCAAGGGCTGCTCCTCTCCATCGGTGTCCTCATTAAGGTGCCATGGCTCCATGCTGTACTCATAATGCACCACCACAGGGTTTCTACACACTAGAGAGGCGGCTCCAAGGGAGCCGCTACCATGCCAATTTAACAAGAATAGTGGTTTAAAAGGAAGATTTCCTACAAATTAGAAAAAAAGTGTATATAAAAACACTACATTAAAAGAACTTTTAAGGTTGTAACAAACTCATAAATGGATGCAAAGACAGAGTTAACAATCAAACCTAAAATAAATAAGCACAACACAGGGCCTTATGCGCTCTGGGTCATGCCTAAATATCACAGGTTATGATGTTTAACTGTGATTTTTCCATCCTTTCATCAGTTTTAGTTACAAAATTAAAATGTTCTTTCAATCTAGTGCAAACGGCTCAGCAATGCAGTACAGTTTTTGGGCTGACTAATATAAAAATGACTCATGAATAAAAAAAAAAGAAAAAGAAAAAAAAACTACGCAAAAATTGAGGAACTGAAAATGTTTCCAAGTAAGTTAAGGAAAAGGAAGACCTAATCATTGCCCTGGTGTTCACAAGTATCAAGTCATGAAGCTAATAAAACAAGCAATGAGAACTAACTGATGTGACAAACTGCGAAGTAATATGTAAGCTGGAATGTAGAGAACACTTGCACTGAGAAATTTAAAGTTGTACAGGTTTATGCAGACCAGCTTTTTTTGTGAATTATCAGAATAAGCACTACACATTTTGGAAATACACTTGTCAGTAATTATTAATTAACCACAGCAAAGTGAAGTGGAGAGAAGAGTAAGAAGTGGCCAGCAGACTTTTCCTTTTTTTTTAAAAAAAAAACTTTTAAGAATGTCAGGAATCCAAACATATCCAAAATCATCCAGTGAAATTAGGGATAACATCTTTCACTTCTGTGTAACCAATTAAAATCCCATGCAAATTTATTTTCTCTAGCAAATAAAAAATTTGCTGCTGCTCTCTAGCAACAAAGATTTTAAATCTTGTGGTCTACAGAAGGAACTGAAATTAATTTGATTATATCAGTCTACTGATAAACAAAAGTGTTCTCATCATGAAGTGACACAAGTGATAAACTTGTTCACACCAGTAGGCCTTGTTCTTTTATCATCTTACTAATAGTGCTAGAAATCTGAACTGCAAGACAGTGCTGCAGAAATGCAAAGAATTTTGCCTATCTAGCAGATTGAATATTTTCTTTAAGATAAGCAGAGAAAGAGCAATAGTACACGTGGTCAGCTTTCAAAATGACCAAGACAGATATTTTCCCCTAACTGAACATGCTACTGAGTGCTCCATGCCATAAATCTGCACATACCAGATTCACTGTGCGTTCTCCTCCTAGAGGATGTAGTTGGACGGGAAGCCAAGTTTGGTGAAGCTTGCCTCTCTTCTAAGTCTTGCATGGATTCCTATGAAGAAAAATACTGCATAAGCAAGAATATAAAAGTTCATGATTACTTTGTGTCTAAACCATGGACAGTACAGTGTGAAACAATTGATTTTACATGTGAGAACATATCAAAATGAAAGATCACCTTTAAAACATTCTCTGTTTCAAGTTGTAATCTGGCGTCATCCTCAGGTGTGGCAGCAAGTGTTGAGTCTGCAAAAAAAAAGTACAAAATCCTATTACAGTACAGCAGTAAAAAAAAAAACAAAAAAACAAAAAAAACCCACTCATCTCAGGTCGAGGGAAAAAAAAAGTAATAAAAGCAAGGGAGAGAAGATAACTGCACACTACTTTCAAATTCAGTTCCAATCAGAATGAACAATCCACATTTTTAAAAAAAACAACTGAAAAAACAACCAACGAACCACAACTCTGCTCCTACGCTCTTCAGGTACGTTTAAAACTTCACCTAGTTTTAGGTAAAGCTTAGTTTACTAGTTTACCTAGTACCTAAATAGTAAAGTACTATTACAAAAATGGAACAGGAGGAAGAAATCTCAATCACAAAGTAGGTCAGGATTGTATTATAAATGCCTACAGATGAAGCATATGAATCAGCTAGAGGTCTGCAGACAAGAAAGAAGATAGGTGGGAAATATTTTGTACATTTCCTCTACTCTAAAGTGTATTTTACTAGCTATCGTCTTATGGAAACACAGATGTAAAATAAAATAAGTATGGAAGAAAAATTCTCTTTTATTGACTCATTGCCAGCATAGACCCAGGAGTAATGAACTATCTTTCCCTCCCAAAAATAGCCAGAACTAGTTTAAGCACTGCAAACATAACAGTGAAGACCAAGAAAGTAAGCGTCTTCCCTACTGAGCATTTGAGCACTTACCTTTAAGAATAATCAGAAACACAGGGAGGCTTAATATGGATTTAGAAATAATCTTACAAAATGGCCTCTGTTCTTTTCCCTCACTTCTTGTATTAACCCAAAACTACGGCTATATTGAACATTTTTATACTCTAGAAAAGGCAGTTCATTAGAATTGGGACTTGTTCTATCCGTTACGTTATTTTATTATTTTTTTAAAAAAGTATACAGGTTTTTTTTAAAGAGGACTTGGATTTAGCTGGTGTAGCTGAGCTTATGACTTGTTCTAAAGGTACTCCACATAAAGATTTGAATACAAAAACAGAACACTAGGGAAAAAAAAAAAAGGTTTAGCCTGACTTCACTGCTAGCACAAGCTCAAACAGCTCAGTTTGTATTTCTTACAAATCCTTTTTTTTTTATGTTCTTGTGAAAGGTTTAGAACCAAAGGTCAAACAATTTTGTCAATTCAGTCCCATTTGTGTTCAGCTCTGACCATGCTTGCTCTAGTTTATGTCCCACAAAATTACCCAAATGCAGTTCAGATTCAATTTTATTTCCTGGAAGAAAAACAAACAAACAAAAAACACAATAGACTTGGTTTCCTTTTCTTTTCTTTTACTTGCAGTCACTCTGGGCAGTGCTGTGTAAACTCATACAGCTCATCAAGGAGGGACAGATGTTATCTGCTCACTGCATGTAAGGTGCATTATCTTAGGCATTTGTGCCTTCCCTTTTTCTATACTCCCACACACAGGCTCTCCAGATCTAGCTTACCTTGTTGATTGATTGCTACCAAATTTCTGGAAATCATTGAATATACTCTCCTTAGATGGGGATAAAAAAAAAAGAGATGTTGCAAGTCAATTACTGTAGTGTTTTTACATACTCTGCACATTTATCTAAAAAGAAGCCCATGTTAGAATTTATTATCTTTAGTGCCCCAAAAAGCACACTAATTTCCATGAGGAATGTGAAAAACAGTTTTCTGTCTTGCTGATCTTCTCCTCAGCTTTATTATTTCACTTGTAAAAACAAAGCCTAAACAACAAAAACAAAACCCTCCTTCTCCCTTTCCAAAGAAAGGGGAAAAAGTTTACTCACCTCAGGAAATTTCTAAATACTTGATTTTTCAAAATCACTTCAAAAGCCAGGAAACAGAAGATCGTAACTCTCGTTAAAATGATTTTGCAAGAAGCTCCTAATATATCAGCAGCAATTCTGAGCTCTAGTGCTGATTCAAAATTATTCTTGCTGGAACTTGCACAAACAACTTATACAGGTCTTGAAATACAAGCAAACTTGCATGAAACTGATTTATGTTAAGACTCAAAAGACCTGGCATATAAGCACTGCAGCAGGGCAATCTATTCAAAGGAAGGCTAAAATATTGTAGCTTTTAGTGGGTTAAGACATGATTATTACATGGGAGAACATACTGGAATTAAACATAATTATTCTCTGTGCAACTTTAAAACTTAGCCTGCTTTGTTTGTACACAGGTTGCCAAGTCAGGAGTCCAATTTCACATGTTTCTGCAACTCCTTTGTAGCTGTTGCATTACAAATGAATCAGGGAAAAAAATCTCAAACCTCAGAGTCTGAGGTGAGGTGAGCTTGCAGATCACATGAAGTGTGTTGGTTATGAACACAAACTTAGCTCAGTAAGTTTCCAGTTTAAAAAGGAGAGGAAAAAAAAAAAAAAAGACGACCAGACCAGGTGATTAACTATGAGAGAGCTAAACATCTTATTATCTTTTGAGGCACAGAGAACTAAAACTGCCCTACACAGTCATTATGTTCTGCACTACGTCACACCGAGCTCTCAGAAAAGCATGCCATTTTACCTGTGTTCCTTTACTGAAAAGCTTGGTACTCCAAATAAATCCCCAAGGAGATCATTTGCACAGTGCACAATATGCTGCTGTTTTTCATCATATAATTGTTTAGACATAATATATTGGCCAAGATAGAATATTACCTGTAAAACAAATCAAATACACAGGTGTTAAACACAGAATGCTTTGCTGTTATAAGACAGACAAACTTCATTGATATGTTTGCTCTTCTCACATCAATTGCCTGAGACCCCCTCAGAGGTGCAATTTTCATCTCTGGTTCACCAAGTACTGTGCTATTCTACAAACAGCCATGAACTGCAGAGTTTGAGAAACTGGCTCAAGGCAGTGTAAAAACAATGTCCTGTCTCAGTACTTTCTATCCAAGATGTGAACTACTCCCTCCCATTCACCCAAAACAAAAGAAGAACCCTTCTGCATTTAGTGTAATCTATCTTTGCGGATTGAAAGTTCTCACCTCCTTCATGGTAAAAGTGTCCTTTTCTGCGCCAGCTAACCTCAGGAGCCTCAGCAATAACGGCTTTGGTTTAACCTGTGGTGGGAACAAGAAAGGCAGCACTTGTTCAACAAATACAGTGTTATGTATACAGATGAGCTTCTTCTTTCTGTATTTATCTGATATACAAGCGCCCAAACCTATGAAAAACTACTCATACCCAAGCTTTTGGCTTTACAAAGTTGGAAGTTAAAAAGAAAATAGCACAAACCCAGTCTTTCTAAGTTTCTCATACACTGTACATCCTAGCAGCCCTTCCCACCTCTCCTACCTCCCCCTCCCTAGGGGCTGTGCTAGCGGGGTCATTTCGGTGGCTGTTCGATGAGCAGCTTCCAAAACCGTGGAGGGAACAGTTTATTTCTCCTGGCCCGGGCAGCGTCCTGACCCAACTCGCTGCACTGCTAGGGTAGTGCAGGAGACAAGAACAAGCTGCAGGGGCTGCCACAGCTGCCAAAAACAAGCCTGGGGATCCTTGTCTGAGAAATCCCTGAGCAGTATATCCTAGTCCCAACGCTCTGCCAACACCAAGAGTATTCGAAGAACAGACTAAAAATACATAACACATTATCTAAAATAGGAAAAGAAAAAAAAAACTATTACAAAAATATTTATAAGAAAGCCTAAACAAAATATCACAAAGGCAAAGAATAATGCCTAAGCAGAGAGAGGGCCTTCCCTATATTCCATCTCAAAAATCTGCTAAAATCAACATGAAGTCTTAGTGCATTAACAAGCAATTAGCTGCAAGAATCACACATAAGCAAAAACCAAACGAGTATGTAAACAATGATGAACATGTCTGCTCACCCCTTTTAAATGCTAGAACTATTTAGGGAATGGAGGATATGTCACAGTTTCATAAAGGAAACAAACACGAATAAAATAGTAAAGACAGCTTAACATAGTAAGGCAAGACACAGTTTCAGGTCTCTGACTCCACACCAGATGCATGGGCTGCGACTCTTTTTCACCCCCATGTCCCCTCTTCCCAATGCCTGCAAGCACGAAGTTGTTCCCCACAGACACGACTGCCTATCATAGCATCGCATTAGGGTATTTAGAAATACAGTAAGAAAAAAGAATGCCATGGTTAACTGATCCACAATTTTGCTTTTTGAAAGCTCTTTTATCAAATTGCACTTTAAAGCTTTAGCCTTCTGCAAAAGTCAGTTAGTTAACTCCTCATGGCTCACCAAGCCATTCTGAACAGGCCCACTCTATCCTAAGGAAAGGTTCTGCATGGAGCCAGCGCAGCGTAACTGTCACTTTATCATGCAAGGCCAGGATGTGCACAGCCTTAAATAGAAATGAAGGCTCTTACTGCCATTTGCTTCCAAGTTCCAAGACAGCAAAAAGTGCCAAATTCAAATCCTACAGTTATGGCAACAAGATCAGCTCAAAACGTTTTTACAACCAATGTTAGGCTTTGCACAAAGCAGAGTTTCCACAAGCCCGTAGTTCCAATGCCTGCTCCCTTTCCTGCCACAAAGCCTTTAGCACGATCAAATCAGGCTGGAAAGCCCTTTTGACGGGGATTCCATAACCTGAATATCAGAGTTCTGCAGAAAGGAGAACCTAAACCGCCCCCCTTCTCCGGGTGAGGAAGGTTTACATCGCAACGACAGCACCAAAGAGAGCACATCCGCACCGGTCCTCCCACCTTCCTCTCACTGCCGCTGCTGGGGCAAAGCAGCCTCCCTTAATTAGCAAATATATATATATATATATAAATATAGTATATATAGCATAAATAGATAGGCAGATAGAGAAATAAAAAGGTAGAAAAAGCAGGAGAGCCTCGCGCGCCTGGCAGAGCTACCGACCAGTGCCTCTTGCTCCGCAGCGGTGACAGGCGAGGCGTCCACGAGGGAGGACATCTTGGTAGTGCACATCTGCCTGCAGCCGAGAGGGCAAAGCCGACATGTTACGCGCACGGCGGCCGCGCTGCCCGCCTGCCCGGCGCG